GTTGGTGTTATCATTACCTTCACAGCATTCCAAGAGGAAGGCTTCAGCACAGGCAGTGAACTAGGTAAAATTAACAAGCAATATACAGCATTAATTTGCAAGTTACCAACTTTCTTTTTTATGAAAAGAGTGTGTTCCTTGAAAAACATTCATTAAATGGAAATTCATTAGAAGACAATGAAATTTTCATTAATTTAATGACAGTATTTATAATTATGATGACCTGAGATAATGCATACATATGTAAATAATAATGTACACTAAATATATAGTACACATATGTGTATATATGTATATAAATTATTATGACCTCCCTGGTAGCAGAAACCACAGGTGCAACACCGACAACACTTTTCTTTTTATTATTTCATTTTTACGGTGAAGGGTTGTTAGCCCTATGCCCAACCCCCAAGCTGGAGGATCACTTTTATCGGCTGTCTGCGACTGCTTATTCAATATATTTGCAGGTAACTTCTATAACTGGATGTTTTTCCTCCATCCGCAACCTGAGGACGTGTCACGCTGTGGTGACAGGGACCTACCTAACATGGACAAATTATTTTAATAAAAGCAATTAATTTGGAATGAATAGCAGTAATTAAATTAAACATGCAAAATAATGGGGAAGAATATAAAACTGTTCTTGTGTTTAAGCATCACACTATAAAAACATGGGGGTTTGGAGATGAAATTCTACTCATTCTTAAGCATAGTACTAGATGGAGGACAGTGCTTAGCTTTGCGCTACAGACACATCCCCATAGAAAGAAGTCTCCAGTATCCATTGAATTGAAGGCTGGGTGAGACCCTGGAGTCAATCTGGACATAGTGGCAAAGATAAAAATTCCTGCATTTTATAGGGGCCGAATACCACTCATCCAACCTGTAGCCAGTCACTTTACTGACTAAATCGAATTTTGAAAAATAAAATAAAACTATGCTGTTGATGCATGATGAGTCATTCACTATAGAAGCTCATGACTGATATTCTAAGACAGAAAACTGTGGAGTTGCTGGCTCCCTTGACTTGAAGAAAATATTGAGTGCATACATCTTGATGCACTTTTGTTGTAATAGAAATTTGTTGAGTAAACATTAATGACATGAAGAATTAGTGTAATTTTGTCTGTTATTGTTAAGTGGGATCTTGACATTCACTGAACTTTTGTTTTTCAGGAAGAATTCTTGTAGTGATTATTTGTTTCTCCTGGAGCCTGTTGCCAGGGACATACTTACTTTCATTCCTGTTCGATGTTCCATTGACAGGGTTCACAAGAATGACTATGATCAATGTTGTGACAGGTAAATATTTTTAACATTAATATCATCACATTTTGTTTTTATGCTCTGAATATACAGTGTGAATAGTTGGGACTGCCAGCAGCATTTAGTGAAGTTGGAAATAATAAGTCTGCACAGTAGAAAATTAGTCTTGATGAGATTTTCCAATGATTTTCCCCTGTAAATGTTCATGAATAATCCATTTTTGGGTATTAACTTTATTTATACAGTGACCATAGGGGCAGTGATTGTCTCAGAACAGTGAGTTTTACTCTGAAATGATGTGGCTGGTTGTCTAAGATGATTTCATTGCATCAAGTCATGTATAATTTGTTGTTCATTAGTTGTGATGCAGATCACTGAACTAACAACAAATGCTGTCCTGTAGTAATTTTCAGTTGTGAGGTACTTTATAACAGTATCTAAAATTGCAGTTGTATTTCATGACTTGCATCTGTATCCAAATATCTTAATTTAGCCATCTTCTGGATATAGCACCAAGTCAGGGAATAAAAATATTGCCAATGTTTCTGATGATTCCACTGTTCTCTACATCAGGGTCAAAGTCAAAATTGACCTTGAAGGAGGTAGATGATTATGCCAAATTGTTGGTAGTACTTTTATTCCTTGACATGGGCACTATTTGCAGAAAATATGAAAGTATCAGGTTGCATAAATGTGACAGAGCTTTTGTATTCTTATTTCAGGCATTGCTGCATATATGACAGTGAATATTTTGAAATTACCATCACTAGAACTGCAGGATGTTGCCAAGGTTCTGGACTGGGTCTTTCTATTCTTCCCACATTACTCACTGTGTGCAAGCATACACAGCTTGTATACCAACTATGCTTATAACAAAGCCTGTTCTCTTGCACTGATACTTCCAGGAATGTGCAGTCGACCAAATGCATGTTGTAAAAGTAAGTGAATTGTCCCTGAGTTGTACAACAGGCCAGAACTTCTAACACATTATTACAACCTTCATGCTCTGTGACCTTTATCTTCTGTCATGATGATAAGATGTCTTCAACTGAATGTAATGATCCAGTGTTTGCACTCTTCTTTCATGATCTTTATTAGTTGCTAGAAACAATTATTGTGACAGTACCTACAGTACTTGAAAACAGGTCATGACCACTTTCACATTAATTTCAATTTGTTTTCACTTGTCACCCCATCATTTGACACAACATAATTAGTGCAGTTGAAAAGGCGCTGTTAAGTACATTAAGAATCAATTAATGTCTTTAATTTTGGGATGGTTTTGTTTCTGGTTGGATGTGATTGGGGAATCACACTTCATAGATTCTATTAGCAGATCATATAATGCACATATTTCAAGTTGTAAATATTTATAATGCAGTAGAATTTCTATGTTAATTGTAACCTCTGTTGAAAATAATTTATCTGTGCTGTGTGCTATGCAGCTACATACTCCTCACAGATGGCACATAGGTTTGGCCATATCAAATCAACATTATGATGCACATTGCTTTGTGACAATTTTTTTCTGGATTTCTGAATGTGGCCACATACAAAAATTCTCCACTTGAAAAGCCTCTGGTGGCAGTTTTGTATAATTTTCTTCTCAGTATGTTCTGGTCAGTTGATATTAGCCTACTTATTTATTTTGTACCTCATTGTTATCTTTTTCTTGTCCAATTTAAAGGTATATTCATAATTTAAGAAGTATTTCAGTATACAGTGAAATTCTTCACACTTCATACAAGTTATTACATTGATCTCACAATCTGTTTTTCAGATAATTGCCCTGAAAATGGTTGTTTACAAAGGACCGACGACTATTTTGACTGGGAGGTACCTGGAATTGGACGTAATATTTTCTTTTTTATGTTGGATGGAATTTTAGTCATTATAGTGCTGCTGATGATGGAGTTCAGACTGTTTGAAAGATTGATGTACTTCATACAGAAGTCAGATGTTAAAATAGGAACAGGTGAGATGCAAATTTGAGGTTAAAGTAATAAAGTTTAATAATATATATATGTATAAATATACAGAAAGTGCTGGTGTTCTAAGTGAATAGATATTATATATACAGATTTCTCAGTCACACACATCTGTAAGCTTTTTTTGTATACAGCACATAAATTGCTACTGATACAGGTTTCTCTCAGATTTATTTGGTTTTCTCCTTTCAATATCATTCCATTGATGCTCTGTATTCACTTGTATGTCATCCACGATATGGACAATGGACCATTACTGGTAGAATTTCCACAGACATAACGTCATCCTGTTAATAAAAAACTTTGAACTAAGTATCACAAAACCTCTTTCTAAGAACCAGTAAAGAATTAATGAAATGAGATTTGATTATGTGTGATCATGGATTTACAGATAACGATGGACAAGAAGAAGGATTGGACAGTGATGTTGCAGCAGAAAAATCAAAAATGCTTATGACTGAAACTAGTCTTCTGCTGAATGAATATGACTTGGTTCTGAAGTAAGTTAAGAGTTACAATAACCAAATTATTTGTGTTCATATCCGCAGGCTCAGTTCATTTTACTGAGGGCCAAGTAATAATGATTTTGTGTCACATTACAGAAGACAGGGAACATTAAGGGTTGTAGCTGTTTCTTAAAATGAGAAAGAACAATTTAACTTTCCTTATAGTTAGTAAATGAACTGCTTATTTTCTTGGGGGGAGAATTGATTCAGTTTCTTTGTGCTTTTCGACATTCTTCAGGGAAATACTACGAGGCTCGTCCACAAAGTAAGTTTCCCTGGGGCCGTTTACAGAAACAAAACACAATTTCATGGAAATATTTATTGCAACAGATGCAGCAAGTGTCCAGCTATTTTTCAACATATTCGCTACCGGAATTGAGACATTTGTCATACCGTGGGACCAACTTTTGAATACCTGTGTCGTAGAAGTCTGCCGCCTGGGATTGGAACCACTGTGTGACAGCCATCTCCGCCTCTCTGTCATTCTCAAAACGCTGACGCTGACCGGACAGGAATTTCTTGAGGTGTAGGAAAAGATGGAAATCACTGGGAGCGAGGTCCGGGCTGTAGGGTGAATGATTAAACACCTCCCAGCTGAACTCCTGCAGGAGACTTGCTGTCCGTCGAGCCGTGTGCGGCCTAGCGTTATCACTGACCGCACTTCACAGTCGGCGGGAGCTGGAATAAGAACCTCCATCTTCAACAGCTGCAACGATGCTACTGTGAGAACGCGGGAGGTGCCGTTAGTGCATGCGCCATGCTACGTCATTGCTCTATCACGTACGCACAGTCGGTTCGCGCAATATAAGGTTTGCTAGCTGTGGGACGAGTGGGAAACTTACTTTGTGGACGCGCCTCGTATCTTTCCAAATGTATATGTGTTCTCCATTAATGAGCATCTTCCCATCTTATTTGATGCTGTGTAACCATTGGAGTTGGAGAAACATCATTAAATAGTTTAAGAATACATAAATAAGTTTGTGGAAATATAATTAAAATTATTTTGTTATAGAGATGTGACAAAATATTATGGCAAATTTTTAGCCGTAAATAAGCTCTGTTTGGGTGTCAAAAAAGGAGAATGCTTTGGTTTGCTGGGTGTGAATGGTGCTGGCAAGACTACTACTTTTAAGATGATGACTGGAGATGAGAAGATAAGTGCAGGAGAAGGCTATGTCAGTGGTCTGAGCCTGAAGTCAAGTATGAAAGAGGTAAGTGATTTTTATTGGTTATCTTGCTGATTTATGTGCCTGTTCAACTTAATAGTACTAAAAAAAATTATTTTCTCAATGTTTTGTAATTTACCCTACTAACTAGTTCTGAGATTAAGATTCAGAATACATGTTTTTAAGTTTATTTCTCAAATGTAACCTAACCTTCATACAGAACACCCCATTTTCACAAATAGGGCTCTATAACTGAGTATTAATGGTATAACCATTACATTTGTAGTAGAACTGCCACTATTTTATTTCAGGATAAAGTATTTATATATATACAGCTTTGGTAAGATTTAGAAAATGCATTATATGATTCATTGTTGATACAGATATTTTTGTGTGAACAGGTGCATCAGCTGATTGGTTACTGTCCACAATTTGATGCTGTTCTGGAAGACCTGACTGGAAATGAGACACTCACTATGTTCTGTCTATTGAGAGGAATACCAAAAGAAAAGTGTCAGTATGTAATAAATTATCTGGCAGATGAACTTCTTTTCAGAAAACATATCAACAAAAAAATTAAGGAATACAGGTACAGTAACAGAATAAGTGAGCATTCACTATATAAAAGAATACTGGTAGAATATTGATGTCTTGTTTTATTCCTAGTGGTGGTAACAAGCGCAAACTTAGCACAGCAGTAGCTCTTATAGGAGATCCACCTGTGATTTATTTGGATGAACCAACCACGGGCATGGATCCAGTTGCTAAAAGACATCTCTGGAATGTGATATGCAAAGTCAGAGATAGTGGTAGATGCATCATCCTTACATCCCACAGGCAAGTTGATATTTTATCATGAATATTTGTCTGCATTCAGCATCAATTTGACACATTTCATTTCACAATGCCATTTTGAAACTTACAATAAAATAGTTCAAAAAATGAGGCTTTCAACTGATTTAACTATTGATGGAAATTAGTGTGGTAGTAAGTAGAAATATTGCATTATAGGAAGGGTATTATTATTCTACCACAGACCATTATTTTCTAACCTATTCTATGGGCTTGATCCTTACCCTGCTACTGAATCAAATGAGCTGAAGAAACAGGTTCATTGTTCATTATAACTAATACTGGAGGCTTACTTTCTGTTACATGAGATTTATGTATGTATTAATAGATGACCATGACAAATATTTGATTTTCAAAATTTTCTGTTTCATAGCTTGGTCACAGAAATCATTGTTGTTAACATTACTTAATTTGGTACTTGTGGGTTATTGGGACACATCTCTTTAAAAATAGGTTAGATTAATGTGTGTGGACAGCAATAAATAACTGAACAAACTAACAAATAACAACAACCCTAACCTAACCTAACTTATTTTTAAAGCGATGTGTCCCGATAACCCACAAGTGCCCTTATTATGTATAAAGTCTATTGGAATTTCTCTGCAGGTTGTAATTTGTCTGATAGAGCTTCTGCATTTCTGAAGCATTCCTAAACTGTTTTCATTGTTGCCAACTGTTGGTTATTAAAATAAGATCAGAGTTTTTTAAACTTATAAAAATGAGAGCTTACAGACTTTGTTTTTTCAGTATGGAGGAATGTGAAGCTCTCTGTACTCGCCTTGCTATCATGGTGAATGGTCATTTCAAGTGCCTTGGCTCCACACAGCATCTCAAAAATAAATTTGCAAAGGGTTACACACTCATTGTGAAGATCAAGAAAACACCGACCTCACTAGACAATGGCAGTGTTTCAAATAGTCATAGCATTCTTTCAAAAGACGTTGATTCATATGATCTGCAACCCATCAAGAAATTTATTGTTGAATCATTTCCTGGTATGTAAAAATGTATTTTTTAATTCTGCTATACAGGACTTCAGATGCATTGGTAATTTGTATACTAATATTTCAGAAACAACTGAAGAATGTTAGTTCTTGGTGAATTTTAGAATATTCTTAGTTTTACTGTTTGAGCTAACTAAAAACAAATGTCATATTGATATTCTGGTAATGCTGCAAAATTATATGCAGTTAAAAGGGTGCCTGAAGTAATCATTTGCAAAACAGACACATTTTGTTTACTTAAAATAATGAATACTGTTGAAACAGTAACATGCTACTAAATCATATTTCAGACAATGAAATATTTTGTTTTATGATAATTTATATTTTACTTCTTATATTTCAAAGTAATTCAGATTTGAATTTAGTCAACATGCAGTGGTAAAAGTATATCAATGAAATTGTCCATGTGTCTGATTGGTTCACAGATATAGTCTCCTAGATTTCAGCAGAAGCAAAGTAATTCAGGATTACATAATTTAAAAAGATGATACAGTGGTACCGTTATTGATATGCTTGCAGGGGCTATTCAAATGGAAGAGTACCAGGGTCTCCTAACATACAGCATTACTAATCCAACATTAACCTGGGCAAGGATGTTTGGAATGATGGAGCATGCAAAACGCCAGCTCAACATTGAGGATTACTCTCTAGGACAGACCAGTTTGGAGCAAGTTAGTTCATTTTTTAATAGCAGTTTTATATGTTGTACACTCAGTCCTAAGAAAGGTCAGTTTTCTTTTCTTCTCTTGCACAAAAAATGTTGCTAGTCATCAAGAACCTCACTTATCAGAACCAATCAGGAAGCAACTGCATGCAATAATCTGTAATTTAAAATTGTTTCACATTACTGCCTTCATCTGAAAGCTAGAATAATTTTTAAAAAAAATTCTTTGAACATAGATTCATTGTAAACCAGTCTGCAATTGATTGTACTCATTTCTGAATCTTTTTTCTGACCAGGTTTTTCTAACATTTACAAAGAAACAAAGAGAAGACTGATTCAAAATCAGACAGTAGACTCCAGTATGGTGATATCAGGGAGAAGGTACACTGATAATGGAGCTTCCTGCATCAGATACCAATTCTCCAATAGCACTGCAACGTGAATGCTGTATTTCAGGAAACTTTGTGTGTCAGGCACAGGAAATTGTCCTGAATGCAAGAACTGTATATGCAGTATAGGAACTGAAGTTCTTGAAGTGCCATATATATATCATTATTTTTACTTAACCTCTGTTAATGATATTTGATCTGACACAGACTCCACGACTGCTGAGTCAGCTCACAATTATGCAGAGTTATTGATTACCATGTGGATAATAAGCAGTGGTTTCAGTGATCAAAACAATGTAATAACTTTGTTAGCAAATGAAGGAAACAGAATGTAATCATTTCTGCAATCCTAAAGCTCCACCAATTAGAAAAATCCAAGAAGTCTTGAGTAGGCAATTGTAAGTATCATACCTATGGAACTGCATCCACAGAATGGCCATTAAGTCACTGTGCATTTATACTGCTATGGATCTAAACATCTGCTTCCTAGTACAGACTTCAAAAGTTCAGCGAAAATGTGACAATCAATGCAAAATGCTACTTCGAAGCATTACTTTTACCTAGTAGGATTTGAGGTTTTCATGGCAGTGAGTCCAAAGATGGCTGTCTTCTGGGTTGTAGTGCCGTGTAGTCTGGTAGAAGTTTACCAATGCCCTAATGATGGAGGCAGCAAGAGCCTCTGAAACGCTGGTAAACTTCTATGAGACTACACGGCATCACAAACCCAGACATCCATCTCCATTACTTTACCTATTTATTATATGGTTAAATGAGGACAAAATCACATACTGCATTTCTCCATGACATTACTACAAGGGATTTGGGGTGAAAGATTAAGTTCCAATGATGTCTGTCCACTGAGTTCACCACCGAAGTACACCTGATTTTCGGTTTGTGACATAAGTACAAACATTCACAATGTCCGTAAACTTGAATAGATAAGTTCTACTGAAAGAAATCCTTGGACTGAATTGGTGCCTGTCACTGAAAACATACATGCACATTTACAAGCATGTGAGGGCAATTTTAAACAGTTTCTGTAACAAGTCAATAAAATATGTATTTTGAAAGTTACAGTAGCAGTTGTGCATAGGGACTTAATGGTCACCTTGCATAAAATAGTTTGTGTAGAAAGTTCTGGACAAAATAGAGATAGTATTACAGAAAGTTCCTGACTTATAATAACACAAATGTTACTTGAAATGAAAAACCTTTTTAATTTTAAATTCATTTTTAATTTTTGTATGCAGTATTACACTTTAATAGCTCTATACTGCTTGTATCTGTGCATGTCTAATTAATTATGGATCTCTCAGTTAAAGCTCATGCTGTGAATTTGGATCTTAACAAAGATTTTGCAAAGATCATTAATAAAAATTACAAAATGGTTGTTCATGTGTATGATTATTTAGTTGTACCTCTTCTTCAGATGTCTCAAAGCCTATGGTTCCAGTTCCCCTACTGCTTTGTGTTTCATCATAACTTCATTGGAACTGAATAATTTTATGGAAAATATGCTGCATTAAATTCTTTTCAAGTGATCAGCCATATAATTAAAATTTAAAAGTCTGAAATTATAGATTGTCTCTGCCTTTATCACAAGGTACTGACATGATTGTGGCTATCATGCAAGTCATCCTTTGTGTCAGTGCAAATTTGTATTTGTCAGCCAGTTGTCACACATCAGCCCATGATGATGGAGACAGACAGTATGCAGTGTCAGAATTTTACTCCATATTAACATGGCTGATCACCTGAGAAGCCTATGTTGCATTCAGTCACCATAAAATCTTCAGTCTTATATAGAACGTGTACTGTAACTGAAATATCACCTGGTTGCTCTGCAGTATGGTAAAAATTTGTGTATATCTTAATAGTACAATATGCTAATTGGAACTTCAACATCTTTTGCTTGCATCATGTTTTGACATATATTAGTTATTGAAAGATGTCAAAATTAATTTTTTTCTCATATTTGGACATATTTTAATGTTTCTCCAATTACTATGTATTTGTTAACAGGTTAGGCTAAGTTAGTTTGTCAGCAGTGGTCTTCTGTGTTGCGATGCCATAGTTCTGTAGGCAAGTTAATCAACATTCCTCCAAAACGTTTGTAACCAGCCACTGAAAGACTACAAGGCATCACAATCAATGACTTCACTCTAAGAACCTCTGTCTCAGATTAATTTAAACTATAATACATACTGCATTTAAAGTATTAATCACAGCATGCATTGCAGCTAACAGATATAAATAAAATGAACTCAGAATTTTTTTAGTATAAGAATATTATAAAGCTGTTAAATTAGAAAAATCAGAGAAACACAAGTGAAAATTCTGCAATGTTAATCAATTTATTTTATTCAGCATTATACAACTTCATTAATGACTGTAATATGAACAATTCTTCAGTCTGCTTTATTCAAAGACTCCAAAATTTCACTACCCGATGCAACATCAATGGGTAACATACCTTCTGTATCAGCAACATTAGGATTTGCCCCATTGTCCAAAAGAAATTTTACAACATCAGCATGTCCACAAGATGCTGCATAATGCAGTGCTGTCTGTCCATCCCCATCCCTCAGATCCACATCAGCCATTAAATCCTTAATCAAACATTTTAACATTGCAATGTTACCTCGGTCAGCTGCCCAATGAATAAGCCCCATTCCTTCTGAATCTATGATATTACAATCAGCCAGTGAGGATTTCTGAGCAAATTCCCACACTTTTTCTGCATTGCCCTCTTTAACCCAATCAAAAATAGTTTTGTCTGCATCATCCAAGTACTCATCTGTACTTGACATACAGCTAACTGTAACCCACCCACTTCTTCCACTAATACCACTCCCTTCTGAATTTAAATTTGCATCTCTCCAACCATGATCCAGTTCTGAAATTAGCTGCACATAGTTCTTCATGGCAATTTCACGAGACATGTCTCCTAATGCTTGCCATGCTTCCCATTTCTGTTTGGCTTGCATCTCATACCAGCGTGGCTTAGAAATATTACATGGCCCCACAGTTGCCTGCTTATAAAATCCATACAGCTCTAGAAGATGTCCAGGTTCTAACTTACCAATAATAGATTTTAAATGATTAGCAGACCTTTCAAACATATCAGATAATTCTAACATATTACTTGCTTGTGCCATTGTTATTTTATAATTAAGCATTAATCTACTGAACTACACTACACAGTAGACGTAAATTACTGCAGCATTTAAATATTAAGAAATGTAATTCAATGCTCTTAACAAGGTTAATTGCCAGCAGGCTGAACTGAAAGTATATTTCCCTCCAATATGTGGTTATGTCTATTTGTAACACTATCATAACCTCCTTGAGTACTGAAAAGCACAAAACCATAACCACGTGACATACCTGTATTACGATCAAATACCACAGTAGCTGAAACTACATGACCAAACTCTGAGAAGTATGCCTTCAGTTCACGGTTACCAATTGTCCATGGCAAGTTGCCTACAAAAAGCTTATTAATTGCCCTTGCAGCCATTACTTGTAAAATGAAATCTTGTCCAAGTTTTACGTATTAATCAAATGGAGATGAAATTAAATGTGCGTTATTTCTAGAAGATGAATTGTGTGATCTTGCATTAACTCATTAATGTCTACTCCTGATTCCGTTCCCAAATTAGTGAGTGGGATTTGTTCACACTGTAGTCGCCACTTATGAAGCAAATGTTCAATTGACCAATCAGCACTCCTCTCTTGATAAGTGCAAAGAAACCTTGCCTGAGGATTCTTTTCTAACAGAAATGCAACCGTAACAATAATATCTTCAAAGATAGATGGTTCATAAAAGCAATCTGATCCTAAAATAAGATCAACTGGACCTAAAGTAAAGATGTTCCCTAGAAATAATCCCCAAGAAAGTCCAAGCACCCGGACTTGACTAGGAAGAAGGCTATTCACTTCACAGCACCGTTTCACGTGCTGGAGACTCTTTGGAAGAATCGCACTGTCTGTTAGTGTTACAGCAGCTCCACACTTAGCAGCAACAATGCCTGGCAGGGCTGTTCCTGAACCAAGTTCCACTATATGTTTTCCTGGCAGTTCACGACGGTGTTCCCAAAGAAACCAGGCTAGAACTGGAGCTGATGGCCACGTGTAGAAACTATAACTCGCTTGCAACTGCTGTGAAAAATATTAACTTGCAGTTAAAAATCAGTACGTAGGTTATGGAAACATGAGGTACACTTTTCAAAGGAAAAGCATCCTAGGTTTTATCCATAAAGAACATATATTATCTATAGAATTTCACGTAATACCTCAGGAATGAACACTTCTAAAGATTCTAAGTCGTTTTCTCCTGTCCTATTATTTCTTGACTTGAACAGAAACTTTTTTACTTGTTCGGTTACCCCATCGGACATTGGATTGGAAGTAGTACCAGGAAGTTACAAAGTAAAAACTAAATTTCGAAATACTTGTTTTGTTTCAAAAGTATTCAGTGTTTTACTTTATAATTACGATTAATGTATTTCATATTAATTTTGTTCATGGTTTCTTAGTAATTTATAAAAAATAAATATATATGTTTATTCAGGCAATTTGACTGATGTGCGATAGACAAATATGGCCGTCAAAAGTGAAGTAAAATGTGGAGTTGCAAGGAGAAAATCAACCCAGTCAGCCGCATTTTGTATTAAAGCGGAAAGGAATGCCTCATACAAAAAGGTATCGCATTATGTTTTACATAAATTAAACCTTGATATCGTTAATTTAAAAACGTAAATATACCTTGCTTCAATTTAGAGCGTCACCATTTATGGACACGAATGGCCGATACTGGAATGTAGGTTATTTTCTGTTTGGATTCTAATGCGTTGCATTTTGAAATAGTACTTTTCTAACGATCAGTGTTGCATATCTCCTCCAGGTATCCTCAATTCTACAGAAAGCTGAAATTGATAGAACAGATGAAGAAAAAGAAATGTTGTTCAGCTGTTCGGAAGTTGTCAAAGAAGTCACCAGGAGGTGAGCAGAACTTTTTAAGGGATAACACATGTAACAGGGTTTTACATGCTGTTACTATGGCAGTATAGTGTCACAAAATAGAAAAATGAAAGGTTTATTTGAAACTTTTTATGCATATTAGCACTTTTTGTAATACATGTGGATGTGAACATATTTTCAGGATTGAAAAACGCAAGAAAGTAAAGGAAAGACTTCAAGAAATAGAGGATCCTCCTGACCTGTTAGCAGAGAAATGTCACAAATTGGCAGAAGCTGTGGCAAATTCTACAAATTTGGTGGTATATACAGGGGCTGGGGTAAGCACTGCTGCATGCATTCCAGACTACAGGGGCACCAATGGCATTTGGACATTATTACAGCAAGGAAAAGATATTGGGTGAGTTGAAATTTGGAATATTGATGTAGGTTGTAAAGACTGTAATGGTGTTTATCTGCTTGTTTACATAACTGTTGTAAATAAACTTTCCAATAGAAAATGATGATGTTCTGCTGGCTTGTGACACTGTATGGACTTGCAGGTAGATACAAGTGTTTGAGAGAAAAATTATCACGGTATCTTTAGGGCCGAGGCATCACAACTCATAAGAACATCACCTTCACTGCCATAAGAACTTCAAATTTCATTCTTCACTAGTAAAATTATAAGATGTTTTCTGCATGGATTAAAATTTTGGGTGGAAAACTAGAGACATGGCATTTGTTCTGTTTTGTAGATCCTGCTTCTTTTTGAAGTTACTGCTTTAGAAACTAGGATTTACAAATATACGAGTTCTTGTCATGTCTCCTACACCCTTTCCAAAACTCTGGAGACTTGTGATATTTTTATTAATGAGTGGAGTGAAAGTTTGGTCATGTTTAAATGACAACATGAGAGCTTACAGGAGGGTTAAAGTTTGTATGGGTTGTGAATTGTATCACTTGCTTAATTTTATTTCATGTGCTACATCATATCTTGCCACTAAATTCAGTCATGGAATTTTTGAAGCAGACCTCACATCACATCACCAGTTGATATTGTTCTGCTGCCTTTTATACTTTGCTGTTGCTTCTCTAAATCTGTAGCTTTGCATCAGCAATCTGAGTTTTGTGTTTCTTTTCAGTCTTCATGACCTTACACAGGCCGAACCTACACTTACTCACATGGCCCTCTGGCAGTTGTACAAAGCAGGGGTACTTAAACATGTTGTTTCTCAGAACTGTGATGGTCTGCATCTTCGCAGTGGCCTGCCAAAAAGAGCATTGTCTGAAGTTCATGGAAATATGTATATTGAGGTAAGCGCAAGAACACATCAAAATTTGACTGTGTAATCATGATGACAATGATGATCTCTTAATATTTTCACCATTGTCGCTTCTCTCATAAGTGCTCCGCTTACATATTTCTCTATTCTGTTTCTTATATCTTCCTTCACTCATTCTTTCCACTTAGTCGTTTGTTGCTTATTCAGTGTCGTATTTTTATACTGTTAAAACAATCCTCTGTTGTCATCCATGTCTAAGACATGTCCATACCACTATTAATTTGGCCCATTTTTCTTGTTGTATTTCTACCTTTAGATCTTGTCTGATATCCTGCTTTTGGAGATTTTCTTAATACTTTAAAAACAGTTTCTTCAGCTTTTTTATTTGTTTACATCTTTTTCTGAAAATTTCCAGTTATAAATATTATTTCCAACAGTATTGTAAAATTTCATGAGTGCGTTGAATCTGCTAGACACCTTCACACCCATTACTTTAAAATCCATTTTAATGGTATCCTTTTTCACACATATGACGTAAGTCTGTCAATGGTCTCTTCCTGAACACATTTTTGTGGAA